AAATGCTTTTCTGGAAAAAAAAACACCAATGATATTTAAAAAAAATATGAATACATATCTACATGTTATATAAATTTGAGCTTAAAATCTTTAAAAATTTCGATCATTTAACTTTCTTAATGCCTTGTTATTAATTTAATTTTTTTAGTACAAGGAGAATGCAACAAAAACAATCAGATTTTGCAGTATTATTCTCCTCGTGCCAAAGGTTTAAACATGAATCTCAATTTCACAAATTCTTAAATGCATTCAGTCCAACTGTGGCATTCATTTCACCATAAATGGCTTACACCAGCAACTACACCTTAAAATTTATATTTTATTCGAACTTGTCATCCCGGCGTAATAAGTTCGAATAAAAAATATTTTTTATTAGAACTCATTATCTCAACGTGATGAATTCTAATAACACTGAAAAAAATATCATAGATCCCAAAATAAATTTTAACTAAATAAATTTTAATTTACCCTAATGGGCTAAATCAACCCACAAAACAAGGTCAATCATTCTTCTGCTGTGTAGCCTTTTTTTTTTTTTTTATCTGTTTGCTTCTTTGAGTTACCACTCTCTCTTCTCTTCAAAGTCTTTTCATTGAGAAAGTCATTATTTTTTATTTTGCTAAAATATTCTTCACTGGACTACATTCTCTTTCTTATTTTATTTATTTTACTTTTAATTTTTTAATTTATTCACTGAACTTTTGAATTATTTATATTTTGATCACTCTGAATTATTTTATTATTATTTTTATATGATGGTCGGCGGTTGATGGTATAGTGGTCGACGGTGGCGTCCAACCATTTTCTATTTTTATTTTATATTTTCAACTATTTTAAATTAAATAATAATAATAAAAAAAATACCATGCCATATAGAAATAATAATAAAATAATTCAGAGTGATCAAAACATGAGTAATTCAAAAGTTTAATGAGTAAATTAAAAAAATTGATAATAGAGTGAATAAAATAAGAGAGAATGTATAGTTTAATGAAGAATTGTATAATTTACTTTTTTTTATTAATATATAAGATATAATTCTTAATTATTTTACATTAAACGTTCTTATATCTGACATTCATAACATTCAAACTTAAGAATTAGAAAATATTATCAATTCTATTATCATTGAGATTAGTGAAATTTAAAAAAAACATATGTTATACGTACGACATGTTTGTAAAGGACGGATCCAAGGCTAGCCGACCACGGCATACATACGTGGCTAGGATTTTTTTTTGGGCGATTTGACCAAACTCATATATTTATCGAATATTTACCTTTTTAGCACCGTTTGATATATATTTCTCGAAGTGACACCCTTTAGGTTGAGCTGGCGAAAGGGGTATCCCCGGGGACGCGTTTTACCCGTGTTTTATCTGAGTTGGATGCCACGTGTAGAATGCGCATCCCCGGGGACGCGCCTTCACGGGATTCTGATGACTCGACTGCCACGTGTGGAAGGTGCGTCCACGCGCCTTCTATTAAATGCAATAAATGCTCCAATCCGTTTTCCCTAACTACCCCTCCTCCTCCCCTATATAAACCCCCTCAACCCTCCCTCATTCTTCACACCAAAATCATATTCTCCTCTCTTATATAACTCAAATTCTCCAACTATTTGAGTTTTAAATTTGTTATTAGTGGTAAGAAATTTATTTTTATGTTAGTATTTTTTTAAATAGTTATTATATTTTATATTAATATATTTATGTAAATATTATTTTTTTATTAAAATAATATTTATATAATTATTATTTATTTAGAATTATTAATTTTTTTGTGCTAATTATATTGTTTTGTCTACAGTTATAATGGAAAACGAAATGTTGTTGCGATTAGATATTGATCATATCTCCAGACATTTTAGCGATATGGTAATATTTTTTATAATTAATGTTAATATTTAAATTTATTTTTATTTTTAAGTTATTATGAATTTATATTAATTTAAAATTTTTATAATGTATATTATTTAGGATACTGATCGTATTTTAGAGACTTTTATTAAAAATCCACGTATACCGACACCGGAACGTATTTTGCCATATTTGGCTTCTGCCGGGTTCGGGTATATTGCAACAATTATTGGCGGTTGTAAACTCGAATCTGTCCTAATTTCTGCACTGATTGAGAGGTGGAGGCCCGAGACACACACTTTTCACCTTCCATGTGGAAAGGCCACAATTACATTAGAGGATGTTTCTATGCATCTGGGGCTTCCCGTCGACGGAAATATGATGTGTGGTATGTCGGATGGTGATTAGCAGTCAATGTGCATTAATTATCTTGGAGCTGCTCCGCCAGAGTTTAATGGAGGTAGAATAGTTTTATCTTGGTTGAAAGCTAATTTTGAGGTTTTAAATGAAAATGCTTCAGAGGATCAAGCAAAGGCATGTGCTCGGGCATATATTCTACGAATAATTGGAGGAATATTGATGCCCGACAAATCTCGCAACCAGGTGCATTGTATGTGGTTGCGGCATCTGATTGATTTTGATGAAGCTGGAAGATATAGTTGGGGCGCTGCAGTTTTGGCATTTCTCTTTAGAGAAATGTGTCGAGCGACGAATTATAAGAAAACTGCTATCGGTGGATGTCTCCTGCTTCTACAATCATGGGCGTGGTTCCGCATGCCTTTCTTATGCCCGATCGTGAATGAACCATATGTATTCCCCTTATTGTTGAGGTAATTTTCGAACTAAATTTTGATTTAAATATTTTCAATTAAATAGGGTGATATTTAGTTTATATTATATTTCATAGGTGGTCGATGAAAAGAAAGAACCATAAAAGTATACCTACTGGGTTAGAGGAAATTCGTTTACTTATTGATACGAAAGCTGGGTCTGAGGTATTTTTTAAATTTGTTTAATTATTAATATTTTAATTTAAAATGCTAGATATAATTAGAATATTTTATTTATTTGAATTGTATATTTATATTTCAGTTTCAGTGGATACGTTATGCGAGCGATGAAGTGAAGGCTTGTATCCCACCCCACCTTAGTGGGTCATTAGAGGTATGGATATCGATTATACCTCTTATATGTTATGCTATTATTGAGTGGCATCCAGTTGATTGCGTGCTCCGTCAGTATGGTTGTATGCAATATATTCCTAGAGCACCTAGGAATTTAGACGACGTGCATAACATAGATAAACGAGGAAAGAAAGATGTTGACTGGGTGGTGAGACACAGAGATTGGATTGCGCTTTGAGAGAACCGATATACACTGTTGGCCCCTCGACAATATTACGCTGGAACTGGTCATATGGTTACGGATAACTATATGGACTGGTTTAATGAAAGTGGGAAGCCGTTTCTACTTTCGGCGGAAGCACGAGGGGTTAACATTCCTAGGCGCCGAGAAAGACGTCAACTGTCTCAATATCCATGCTCTCATGTCATTGCAGCTTGCTCACATTTGTATTTGGACTACAAAAATTATGTTGATCCCGTATACCAACTTTCACAAGTATTCAAGGTATATGAATTTGAGTTTCCGCCCATAGGAAACGAAAGAGACCCAAATGAGATTCAAACTTGGCTTACAATTGTACCAGATCCATTGCTATTGAGGGACTCAAGTCGTCCAAAATCTACTAGAATACATTGTGATATGGATATTCGGGAGAAGTCAACAGAACAAAAACGATGTGGGCATTGTAGAAACATCGGGTACAATAGAAAAAAATATCCAGCTCTGTTATCATCATATAACCTTTAACTCATATATAATTAATATTGTATTTAAATGAATGTTTTTGTTTCTAATAATTTAATGTTATTGCATTTATATAATTTGTCAATGTATGTATACCTAAATAATTTTTTTTAACTTTTAAATACATAAATATTTTCAATATATTTATTTAATATAATAATTAATATTATTAGTTATAAATTTTTTTAAAATATAATAATAATTCCACCTTCTAAGTAGAGAAAAATATTAAATTAAAAAATTTATGTATACGATGACACATTTCATGTTCTGATTGGAGGATTAAATTTATTAAATTAAATTTTCAATAAGACTAATTTCATAAAATATGTAAGTCTTGAAGATTAAATATGTAATTATACTAATTTATTAATTTATGCATCAATATTTTCGTTAAATATTGATAAGAGATGACTAGATTGATAACATTTAAATAATTAACTGATAAAATTAATAGATCGATAATCAAAATCAAAAATAATAATATAACCATATGTGTAATATTATAATTTCATACATTTTTCCTATAACTACAATAAAATCAAAACTGGTTTTCATATATTGTTCTATCATATTAATGTAGATAATTCACTCGACCTTTAACACACATTAACAAAATACATTTGATAATTCTTATATTATAATCGAAACACTTTACATAATATATTACTAATTTATAATAATAATAAAAATAAAATATTTATTATTAACAAAATACCAGCGTGGCAGTGAAGGTTCGTCCCCGGGGATACGCCTTCCACACGTGGCATCCAACTCAGCGAAAATACGGGTAAAGCACGTCCCCGAGGACGCGCCTTTCGTCAGCTCAATCGAAAGAGTGTCACTTCGAAAAATATATATCAACCGGTGCTAAAAATATAAATATTTAGTTAAATAATGTTCAAATCGCCATTTTTTTCGTACAGAGTTTTTAACCTATTAAAAAAACAAATGATAATTAACACGTCAGCATCTAAATCCAGGCTTTGTCTTCTCCACCAATCACAACTCTCGAAATCCCCAAATTCTATATCCTCCTCTTGCCACGTGTCCTCCAAACCTCCAACCACTTTTCTCCCTTAAATTGTCTTTCCGTCTCCTCACTTCATCTTCTTCCGTCTGTTTTCTCTCTACACTCCTTCACTCTCCCACTACAAAAACCTTCACCGTCCTAGGAAGAAGAAGATACAATGATGAAAAATTAGGGGGTTTTGTTAGGGTTTGATTCAAGTTTTTCTATCGCAGGGAAAAAAGGATAATTAGGTTGCATTAATGGCATCATATCTACCATTACAAGAGCTTCACTTTCTCTCCTCAACGTCAACAACTTCGAAGCACCGGTTTTATCTCTCTACACGTTCTTCTCTATCCAGAGTTTCTTTGAATAGCCATTTGAGTAACGGTGTCGTTTTGCGTTCTCGAATTCGAGCACTTAAAGAGGAAGGAGTTTCCTATGAGGATCGGGAGCAAGAATTTATCAAGGAAGTCAACGGTAGGTTTGAATTGAATGGCAATGGAAGTGCTACGAAGTACGAGTATAAGAATGAATCGGTTGACGGATATATCAACGGTGGATTTGGAGTGGTGGAGACTGAGAGCAATGGGAGTTTGGTCAAGTATGTGAATGGGAACGGGAATGGTGCCGCAGCTGAAGTGAAAGTGGTGGAGGTGGAAGGAGGAGGAGGAAATGCAGCTTCTGAGGAGGCGAGGAAAAAGAGAGTAGAAGAGATTGGGAAAGAGGACGCTTGGTTCAAGCGGAGCACTAAAGACCAGGTTGAGGTACTTGGGATTGATTTCTAGAAAATTGTAGTTTTATAGAAGTAAATTATGAATTTTTTCTTTACAAAATGCGACATTTCCAATTCTTATTTTGAGTTGATGAAAATTGTATTGGAATACCACTTTGCCTTTTGATTTTAGGAGCAAAAAAGAACTAACAAAATTAACAACCAATAATTTTTGGAAATAAATGTTGCTTGTAGTATTATTTAACAAGATACAGCGCTTATAGAATTTGAACTTTGAGGTGAAATTTTAGCTTGCTTGTAAGCCAATGTACTACTAGTTCAGAGTTTGTAAGACTGCTTTAAAACTTTGGTTGTAGATCTCCTTGATTGATGTATTATCTTATTTCATTGTTGGAGAGGACTATATACAGCTATTAGTAAACAAAATCTAGGTTGAAGATAGTGTCAGGGTGCCTTTCCCTTGATGTACATTCTCACTCATTTCTGTGATGTTCATTTGATATTTATGTAACTTCTGTAGTATATGTTGAGTCGACTGCATTGATTTGTTTTCAGTGTCACAATCATCTCTCTTTTTTGGTTTCTTTTCTAGCTAAGTATTTCTGGATGTTTCTTTCTGTATGTGTGTCCCTTCAAGTTTGTATTAACAATAATCTTGCGGCAATAAATCTATCAGGTTTCTGTTGCTCCTGGGGGGCGTTGGAGTAGATTCAAAACCTACTCGACAATACAGAGGACCTTGGAGATATGGGGATTTGTTATAACTTTTGTATTTAAGGCATGGTTGAACAATCAGAAATTCTCCTATCGAGGTCAGTGACATTTGTCCCCCTTTCTTTTGCTGTAAAAATAAAATTTTCTCATCGTTTTACTTGGACGAAAATAGATTACAAAAATTGGAACAGCCCAAATTTGAGCCATGAGCCCATGACATCTGATGAAAAGGGTGATTTTCAGAAATGGTATTTTGGAAAGAATGAATCACATGTGATATAAGTTCACTATTTTACATTTTAGCAACCCTAATTTAAGTTTGATTAGATAAAGGGATGCTATTGAATATAATTATCATTCCCGAGTTGCATATAAAAAGAAGATTGCTGGTTTGCAAAAATAATTGGTTTCAAATGACTGATATGATCCAGCAATGTTATAATGATAGTAGATTTTCTGAGATCCTTTTTATTCTGTATATTGTCTTGAATGTCTTCATAGACAGTGGGTGTAGCATCATCCTCTTTCATTTCTGAACTAGTTCCAAATGCTGAATATAGAAGTGTAAGGGGTGGTAAAGGTTTGAGCAATGTCCTTGAATAAATCCCGTGGTCTTATATAGTATATTGTTGTATATCCTAGTTGTTGGCATTATATATCTCTTTTTTTTATAAGAAGAGGATACCTCGTTAAAAATCCCCCTTCATGATTAATGGTGCACCAAGAGGTAGTCCTTAATCAGCGGAAAGAGGAAAAGAGTGCCTCAAAATTCATTAATAAAAGATTTAATACATAATTTTTGAATACAACCAAAATCATCCCCCCTACAACGAACAACCCGAAAACCAAATAGATAAATTACCAAAACAGAAACACCCAAACTAGCCAATACCAAACTTTGCTAAACCATCAGCCTCAATATTTGCTATCCTAGCTACCCAATGAATTAAACCCTCCAAAACTCTTAACCAATCAACAATGTCCTTAACAATTGTAACATACACATTTGGACATCTATCCATATTCTTTACCCACTCCACTGACAACTTACTATCACTTTCGATAATCAAACGTTTCTTAAATGCCCTCGAAGAAAATTAAACCTTTCTTAATTGCCTTGAGCTCCATAAAGGAAGGAGGACCCGGGCCAGCAGCTTCTTGGAAAGAATCTTGCATCGAACCATCTTCATCTCTTAAGATCCCGCTATTCCACTTTTCTTCCAATCACCATTGAATGTTGCATCCACATTCAACTTTAGAAAGCCCTTGGGAGGAGGAGACCAAGGCAACTTATTAACTATTAGAGTTCTGGAAGTCGAACAGAAATCCCCAAGAGAGGGATCACTAATGAGAGAGTCTTTAGAAATGGAAACATCATTGAACTTAGCTAAGAACCAAGAAGCAAGCCTAAATCTTACCGTGAAAAATAATTCAACCTGATCTAATATTCCCCCTTCAAACACAATGGAATTTCTATATTTCCAAATTGTCCAAAGAACGATGCCCGGAATAAAGGACCAAATAGTTGAATGAGACTCCAAATCTTCCCAAGCTAAAAGAAAACTTTGTGCATTTTCATGAAAAACTGAAGTGATTCTCCAAAACTTCAGGAATCTATTCCACAGAATCCGCGCAACTGAGCAAGTGAAGAATAAATGTGAGGATGATTCCTTCTCCATCTTACAAAATGGGCATAAAACGTCCACAATCCCCAGAACCCCTCTCTTTAGTAATTCTTTACTGCCAATTTCTGATGAACAACCTACCACATAAAAGACTCCACCCTTGGAGGCACCAACCCCCTCCATAGGTTGTTCTTCCAAAAAGGATCAACATCCAAACCAGATGAGCACGACTTCACACAAGAGGTGACAGAGTAAGCACCTCCCCATTTCCTTTCCAAATCAAATCATCCGTCAAATCTTCCGAAAGACGAATTTTATTGATGATAGTCAACAAATCAGACTACTATTCCAGTTTCCAATCGCTCAAGTTTCTCCTCATCTCTACATGCAAAAACCAACCTGATGTTTGATACTCACCAAACTCTATTAACTTACCATTCTAATTTGTAGATAGGACAAACAGTCTAGGAAAAACAACTTTGAAAGGAGAATCTAATGCCGAAATGTCATGTCAAAACCAAATGTTCTCACCATTGCCCACTTGTACTTTAAACAAGCTGCGAAACTTGGAACCAAAATAATCTTCTTTGAAATTATTATTCTCCACCGATTTCCACAATCAAGAAGCTTGAGCCGGAATCTTACTATTGAACAATAATAATTCTTGTCAATATTTTACTTGCTGCAAATCATCTTCCTCCATATGGACTCTTTATCATTAGCGAACCTCCAAGACCACTTTCCTATAAGAGTTCTATTCATAAAATTGAGGTCCAAAACACCCAAAACCACCATTATTTTTGGCTTTACACACTGTCGACCAATTTACCCAAAGAATCTTATTCTTCTCTATTCCTGCTCCCCATAAGAACTTTACCATAATGGAATTGAGTTTTTTATTCACAGAAGAAGGAATCTTTAATAAGGATAAATAATAAGTAGGAAGCGAGCACAATACCGCCTTTAACAAGACCAATCTCCCTACCAAAGAAAGGGTTGTTGCCTTCCAACCGACAAGCTTCTTGTAAAATTTCTGGACAACCGGATCCCATAGGGATGTTGAATTTCTGTTTGCACCAAGTGGCAGCCCAAGGTAATCTGAAGGGAATCTTCCAACTGAGCAACCAATAGCACTCACCCACTCCTTTACCTCCTCTTCACTTGTATTTATGCTAAATAATCTACTTTTGTTGAGGTTCAGTTGAAGACCAGACATGACTTCAAAGACTTGTAATAATCTCTTTACATTTGATATATGCATCTTTGAGGCATTATAGAAAATGATTAGATCATCTGCAAATTGCAAATGCGATAACTTAAATGAATCTTCATTCTTACCGATAACCAAACCACAGAACAAACCCGAAGAAACAACCTTAAGAAGCAATAAGTTAAGAAGTTCCCCAATCAAGTTAAATTGTAGTGGGGAAAGGGAACAACAAGACCCTTTGCCATTGAAAATTCATTCGAAGGCACCCCATTTACCAAAATTGACACTGAAGCGGTTGTAACACATTTCCTTATCCAACCGCACCATTTGGTCCCGAAACCCATCTTCTCCATCACTTTAAAGAGAATTGACCAATCCACCATGTCGTAAGCCTTCATGAAATCCACCTTTAACACACAATCCTTCAGTCCTTTTTCCCCCCAATAGTCAATTCCTTCATTAGCAATAAAAGAGCAATTCAGGATTTGTCGACCAGGAATAAAAGCAAATTGCGAATAACTGATGATATCATTGATACAACTTCACATTCTCCTCGAAAGACACTTCGAAAGAATCTTGTACATTCCTTCTACCGAGCTGATAGGTCTATAGTCTTCTAAGCCACCAATGTTGGAACCCTTCGAGATGAGAGTTATGAAAGTATGATTGATTCCGTGCTCCCAATCTTTCCCCATGAAAAATTTGCGAAAAAATCTCAGAATATCTTCTTTTAGGAAGGACCAAAACCTTTTGAAAAACCCCATATTCAACCCATCAGGCCCTGGAGCTTTATTGCTATCACGCGAGTTTAAAGCATCCCAAATTTCTTCCTCCAAAAACTCCTTTTCTAAAAGAAGGCATTGCTCCAAGGAAATTCTAGCAAAATTCAGCTTTAAATCTTCCACTTCTAAGGTTGATCGGTAATTATAAACTTCGAAAAAGTGGTCTTAGACACTTGCCTTGATGAGAGTCGAGTCTTTGATGATCTCACCCTTGACGTTAAGAGCATTCAAGGAATTCAACCTCTTCCTAATGGAAGCACATGTATGGAAGAATATTGAATTACGATCTCCATCTTTCACCCATTTCGCTCTAGAATTTTGGAACCAGATTTGCTCCTCGATTTTATAAAGCCTCCATAATTCTTTCCTCAAAGAAACCAATTTTGCAGCACTTCCATTCGAATCTTGATTCTGCTATAAACCCTTTTCTAAATTGTAAAATTTTCCTTATATGTCAAAAATCGCAGCACCTGGAAAATGATCTCTATTTCCAGACCAGTTTTTAATGGCAACTTTCGTGCTTCTTAGAATACTCAAAATTCCTTTTCTTTTCTGGTTTTTCTTGCAATCTTTAATAGACGATAACAACAACTCCTTAAAACCATCCTCATTAATTAAATAATTGAACAACTTGAAAGGTCTTTTACCCCAATTTACTCCACCATTTTCAAGGATAATGGCATTATGATCTGAAACTGACTTAAGAAGTAGAGATTGATTGATTTCAAGGAAAGTTGTTAAGCTGGAACAATAGTGCCTTATCTTCCTAAACAAATGAGCTATTGAATTCAACTGCAGATAACAAATTTGAGTATTTGACTTCCTCCAACTACAAACATAAGAAAATCTTAGAATCCTAACCTAAAGGGTTGAACAGAAAGTGCCTTTGAACCACCATAAGGTATGGCGAGATTGAGAGGAGCGGAATCGCACTGTGTCTTCTGATGGAGATAGAGTGGTGTCTGGAGGTGGATCGTGGGTAGCATTCGTTGACAATCTTAGTAGAAGAGTGCATAGAAGTGTATTATGGGATCGTTTTAGCCTTTATGGTAAGGTGATTAAAGTTTTTATTCCGTTTATTAATAGAAGACCCAACTATAAGGACAAGATGTTTGCCTTTGTGCACTTTGCGAGCAAGGAGGATTTGATTAATGCTAAGGAGAAGATGAACAACTTCCTCGTTGATGGGAGGAGAATATTGGTGTCACATGCGAAATATCAGAGGAGTAGTTTTCCAAGGAACTTGAAGCGCAATAGTGTCGCAGAGGCTGGAGGTGTAGGTGTAGAGATATCGAAAAGGAAAAATGCATCTAGCCAAGTGGTTGAGGCAGGGAAGAAGGAGATGATGAACAAGTTCTATGATGGCAGAACATATAAGGATACGGTAGTAGATTTGAAAAAAGTTGAGGGTCAGCAATCCAGAAACCTTGGTGACAAGAGAGAGGAGAAGAAGCCTTTGGATTTCTTCATTCCAATGGAGGAAAGATCATGGTTGAGGTCGTCTTTAACAGGTATCGTTAAAGCGATATTTGAGGTTGAATTTGTGCAAAGGGCATTGAGAAGAGAGGGAATCAATGTCAAGGTAGTTAGATGGGGATATGTGAAAAATGCATGTTTGATAGTATTCTAGTCTGTGGAGGAGAAAGAAGCAGCAATGGAAGATAAATGGGAGGCTTTGTCCTTTTGGTTTGAATGGTTAGAGTCTGTGATAGAAGAGAAGGGTGTTCCATTACCTTATTATGCAATATCCATGATGGGCGTTCCATTAAACTGTTGGTCAGTTTCATTTTTTACCAGTTTGGCATCGAGATGGGGCAAATTAGTGAAGATTCAAGAGCAGGCAGCTCAAAGAGTTGATTGCAGGGTGACTCAGATGTTATTAAGGGTTGAAAGCCCATTTGACATCCCTCCACATGTCTTCATTAACACTTATGGAAGGTCCTTTACTATCAAGATTAAGGTAGACAGCAACGATGATTTCTTCCCTGAGCTTGAAGATGGGGTTGATGAAGATGGTTCTGAAGGAGGAACAGTGGATCCTTGGGAGGAGGTTTCGGCGGATGGGAGCAAAGGGGAGGATCAAGGAGGTCTGCAAGGGTAGTTGAATTTCCTGCAGATGTCAGACTCTAGGAACAGGGCTGAAGAGTGGGTTCGAGGTACTTCACAGGGGGGTGGTTCAATGAACGAGGGAAATTTGAAAAAAAACGCTGATGCCAATAACAGTTTAAATGTTAACCTTTGTACCGAGGGGACAGTACTAGGTGAAGGTCCTAGCAAGCAGACTGTGTCAGAGGCTTTTTCTGATGGGAGGAAAAAGGTGGCTAGCTTAGAAGGAGACATCTCGGGGAAAGATAAAGTGGCCCAAGATGATGGGCTTATTTCCAGCATGGGTAGGGTGGAGGTATATGGGCCTGAGCAGGGTAGTCCAACAGTAAATAAAAATGGGAATAAGAATGAAGCTTTAATATCAACTACACAGGTTGAAAATGGTATGCAGTATGGGTTTGTGCCATTGTCCCAGCGACGACCTTCTGGGAGGAGTGCGTCGGTTAGTAATGTTGATAGAGGCTTTCATAACATAGTTTATGTTAGGAGGTGGGATGTTAAAAGTTGTGGTGGTAAGGATGATGTTATTGGAGCAGGAGATGAGAAACAGGGGAGGACAGAAGCAATGGAGTGTTGGAAAGTATCCAATTTGTTGGGGGTAAAGTTTAAAGGAGGAGAAAAAGAATTCGTGACCAAAGTTACTCCTTTGGTGAAGGATAGAGATGATTGGGGGGCGGTAGTTGGTTCAGGGGTTATGTCATAAAATGAATTTGACGGTAGAATGGTCCATTATGTGTTGGAATGTTTGGGGTCTGGGTAGGAAGGTTAAAGCTCGAGCTATTCGGATATTTGTTGAGGAGAGAAAACCGACTATCTTATTTCTTCAAGAATCCAAATTAGAAGCTGTTAGTACTATGTTAGGAAGGAAAATGGGAGGGAAAATCCTTAATGGTTTGGCTGTTGTGCCTGCTTTAGGTTCGGCTGGTGGACTAATAACAATGTGGAATCGGAAGGTATTTGTGGTTAAGGAAAAGGTCATCCAGACTAGATTTGTGGCATTAAAGGGATGGATGGATGGTATACCAAACATTTGTTGTTTCATAAATGTCTATGGTCCAAGTGTGGAGGCTGATAAAGAGCCGTTTTTCAGAGAATTAACTTCATTTCTGGAACAGGTTGATTGTCCAGTGTGCTTAGGTGGAGATTTCAATGCCCTTTTGACTTAGGAAGAGAAAATGGGTGGCGCTGTGAATTTGGTTTCGATGAATACTTTTCGAGATTTTGTTTATAAGGCAAATTTAATTGATTTGCCTTTAGTGGGAGGTCAGTTCACGTGATGTAATAATAGGGAAGTTCCCACTTTTGAGAGATTGGATCGGTTTTTAGTTGATCATAGTTTTTTCTCGCAATTCCCAATGATCAGCCAAACTTTGCAGCCTCGGTCTATTTCTGATCACAACATTATTCTGCTGGAGAATAGGGAATGTAATTGGGGGCCGAAGCCGTTTAGACTGTTTAATTATATGTTGGAGGAAGAAGGGTTTAGCGAATTGTTGACAAAAGAGCTGCTCAAACTGAGTGCACAGGAAAACTTGATGTCCATTTCTAAAACACTTAACCGGGTGAAGGATGTGGCAAAAAATTGGTCTGGTAAGGGTTATCTCTAATTACCAGGTAAAATCAGAACGTTGGAGTCTACGATCCAGGATATGGAAATGAAATTGCAACATGGGTCTTCCTTGGTGTCAGTGAATTCTATTGTTGAAGTAAAGAGAGATTTATTGGAGCTACAAAAGAAGGAAGAATCAATTTGGGTGCAAAAGTCTAGATTGAAATGGAGATTGGAGGGTGATAAGAACACAAGGTTTTTCCATCACAGTGCAACAATTAGAGGGAGGATAAACTGCATTAAAGACCTCAAACCCCTTACATTCCATGTAACGATAGCTAACATTGGCATCTTAATATAATAATCTAGGAACCTAACTATCCCCCAAAATGGCAGCCACCTCACCTAGCCAATCTTATGCCTTTCTCCAAATTCATAATTTTTTCCAGAAAGACTTTCTTCCCTTGCTTGAAGGATACACCCAACAACTTGCTTATTTCCCAAGTAGCCAGAGCTTCCTCCAACAACATCGAGAAAGCTGAGGAAGAGATTGTAGAAATGCTAACCTGATCTAAGGCATCCCTTATCAAAGATCTTTTAAATCTCTTATTAATTTTCTCCTTAATGAAGCCAGAACTGCAACCTTCCGAATGACATCCTTCATTGAAACAGAAATGTCCTCGGTACTCTATTTGTCCCTGAGAATAAGTGTCTACATAACCTTCTCTAGTGATAGCTGCATCCGGGTCTTCTGATTGACTCGAACATAAAACTAGTGCCATCTCCCTCTGTTCGCCTATATCCCTCTCTGTTTCAGAAATTGTACCTTGATCCTTTCGAAGCCAAATTTTCCTCTCCCTAGACCTTCTATAGACTGTTAAAACAGCCGATCCTCCTCCCATTCGGGGCACGCTTGATGGATAATGTACTTGTTGAAAGGTATGGCGATCTTCCCCTTGATCGATTCTCAGTAAAACCTTCAACAGTTCCAACCTTTGCTAAATCCGCTGCTGGATCCCCTGTATTATTAGACAAACCAGATTCTTTTTCTAACCCACAAGCCCAAACCCATTTAAATTAATTGCTGGTCCAGAAGGAATAATCTTTAAGACAAGGGAATCGGTCTCACTGTTTCCCACTGATTGGGCCTGAGTGCTAATATCTGAATAATCCATATTCCTGATTCCTATCCTCGCATACTCCCCAACATTGTTTCTCCCAAAAACGAGGAAATCTGACACCCCCGTTATTAATGTGTTCCCCATCCATGTTTCTCATTGAAGACTGTTGTCCCCCACCAACTCCAACCAACCGGGAAGAAACTCTCTGTTCAATCCACGTGTCCACCTTTTGTCGTTCATCCTCGATTGACTGTTCAGAACCTTCATCGTCAGATCTCTTTCGAATGTCAGCTTCCTCCTCCTCCGACGCTTCCTCAATGGCTTGATCATCAGAATCTTTCTCCGGCGTTTTGCTTAGAAAAATGCTCGAAATATTAGACACCGATCCCAACTTAATGCTCACCCTTGAAGGACCTTCCGTGCGACCCTACATTGATCACCTTCGGGACGACGAACGACTCGCCACCTTAACCAGAATTCTCGCCGTCTAGAGGTGCTCCCTATTTTGTGTCGAATCTTGAATGCATTCTACCTTCTCCCACCTCCCAGCTAGCCTTTCTAGAAAAGAGTCTTGCCAGCATAAAAGAGGGACACTATATAACTCGACCAGGCAATAAGCCATTGGAACACCGACCTCATTCAGCAAAGGTGCCAACCGGTCGAACCAGAACCATAACTCCTCACTCTTATTCATCCATGCCTCGTCATCTCTTTGTTCGATTTGAAAGTGACGATGCAGGAATTCCAAACGTATCCCAACTAGCAATCTGAACTTCATAACCCTCATTAGCCAGAGCCTTCTGTACCAACTCTAGCTCAAAAGAATGTTTGACAATTCCCCAGTAATGACCGTTTCATCTAGCTTGAACTTTCAGAAGGGATATGCATCTCCCAAACGTTCCTCTTTCCTTTTGCCCTGTTTATACTGTCATTCCTATTCTCCCTGTATTCCAAATCACTCCTCTGCCTTTTGTACGTCAACAAAGCATCCTTATAGGATCTATCATCCCTTATGCTCCTCGGAAGCTCAGCTTTCTCCTTTAGCTTTGTTCTGTCATCTATATTTGGCCTTGAAGCATCAATCAATATTCGTTTTGACCCCTCTGTCCTTGATCGAGCTTTTTGATATTTTGCGACTCCTACTGATACTTTCCTCCCATCTATCCACGATCCGTTTACATTCTCGATAACCTTCCTCATCATTGCCAAACTGCACAAAAGCGAAAGTGGAGGATTTGTATTTTGGTTTATTCATTTCGCTTGGAATGAAGACTCTCACTACATGACCCTGAAAGAGGAACAATTCCCTTAACGCTCGTCTTGAAACTCTCTTGCTTAGATTATCAAAGAAAGCTGTCCAAACCTTGCCGGAAAAGGACTGACCTTTCAATTTCTCTCTCTACGCCTCTACCTCTCTCACTCATTTTCGCTTTAAGAATAAATTTATGGAAAGTTTGTTGGCATTATATATCTTGTTTTAAGGTTTCATTCATGCAGGAGGAATGACTGGGGAAAAGAAAGTGATAAGGCGGAAGGCCCTGGCAAAATGGTTAAAAGAAAGTATCTTGAGACTGGGTCCTACTTTCATCAAAATTGGCCAGCAGTTCTCCACAAGAGTGGACATTCTTGCTCAAGAATATGTTGATCAGTTGTCAGAGCTACAGGTTGAAGTTCTTTTTCTTTTAAGTTACTTTTAGGTTGAATATTTTTAATTGCGAATGCTAGTTCTACATGTAGATGAATCTATTCAGGGACAGATCAAGAAAAAAATGTAATAATTCTGTGCTCCAACTCATATCATGGTTTTCTAGTACTTAAGACGCACTTCATTCTGCAAGAGAGAATTTTCTAGCCAGATGATTTCTGAATTTAAAATTTTGTAGGTGACATTTAATTCTATTCACATGCAGGATCAAGTTCCACCTTTTCCATCAGAGACTGCAGTATCTATTATTGAAGAAGAGCTTGGAGCCCCTGTAGGTGATATCTTTGATCGGTTTGACTATGAACCCATTGCTGCTGCTAGTCTTGGTAATTTTCATGACATCACATTCTTCTAATTGAATTGTTTTTCCCCATCACTGAATAAACATTACATAAGATCAAGTGGTAAAAGATATATTATAGTGTGGTTACTGCGAACATTGCCAATTTCCAAATTATATACTCACATGTAAGCCCCCAATTCATATGCATTCATTTCTGATTTTGAGTAAGTCTTTTCAAAGTTTGGCTGCATTTAATGCCAATTTTATATATTCATAAAAAATGTTTTCTTCATTTGTTCTTTCTGTTTTCTTTCATTCACTTGTAAATAAAATTCCAACTAATTAATAGTTTGACTAAAATAACATGTAAATAAGAAATCCACTAAAGATTATTCCAGACCTAGCTTGCTTGAAAGAAATATGTTGAACTATTGGCTTCGTATGATAATTATCAAAAACTGTTACTATTCTATTGCTTTATTAACACATTCATGTAGCATCTAATGCCTATTTAATTATATGTATGAATGAATGAATAACTTTATAATAATTAAAACGCATAAAATGAGATGGGAGAAATGTAGATTGGTATTATCCATTAGCACTAATAGAAGTTTGACTTTCACTTTTTCCCTCAATAGTAATAATTCAATTAAATGAATAAAAAATAACCCAAGTTTTCTACTGCTTACGTAAGGATGTGTCTTAAATTATGCACAATAACAGAATATGGCCCGTATAACTGACCTACATAGTTGGAAAAGACTTGTTTGTTTGTTTGTTTTATGTTGGTCATCCACTTATCATAATGTACTCATCCATAACATATTAAGTGCCTATATATGTTAAGGCTTCACCAAGCCACTCTATTTAACTATATAAAAAGAGTCAACTTTCATGTCAATTGTCATCACATTATGTTGTTACATTTTATGCTGTAAAATTAAAATACTTAATTTCAATGAGTTTGCTAATATTTAGCATACTCAAGAAAAAAGAGAAGAAAGATGGTAATCAGCATGGTTAAACAATAAAGGAGTAAGATAACTTGCACAGGAGAAAAGTTGGGCGCCGATACACTGATATTGAACTGTATAATGACATGTCATTAATAAAGTGAACCAAATCATACTCTGTAATCTGTATAAATAAAATATTTTATCTTTTAACTGGTGGCATCACGTGTTCACTGGCATGTATAGATCTATACATTATTAGTGTATTAAATTTAAATCCATAGTAGTCTGTTAGTTGATAAAACCGAATTGACAGATATGATTTACCTTTTGCAGGTCAAGTCCATCGGGCAAAATTAAAGGGCCAAGAGGTTGTTATCAAAGTACAAAGACCTGGTCTAAAGAGTCTCTTTGATGTTGATCTTAAAAACCTGAGGGTTAGTTTTACTAATTTTTGAATTTCTGTGTACCACTGATCAATGTTATATTCTTATCTTGATTTCATCATGCCTATGGTTTCCTAGCTTTTGTGACTTCTAATATGTTTCCACTTTACACTTTGCTTGGCAAACGTGATTTGTAATTAATTATGGTAGTTATGCTATCACCTTTATTTAGTAATAAGAAGCTGCTGCTTTTTCTATTAAGATAATCTTAAAAGGCACTTTTGGAGTTGAAGATTCCAACTCTTGTTTGGTTGGGCCTCAGGTAATAGCTGAATATCTTCAAAAGATTGACCCAAAGTCAGATGGGGCTAAGCGAGACTGGGTTGCAATTTATGATGAATGTGCAAGTGTGTTGTATCAGGTAGTCCGTTACACTAAGCCAGATTGCCTGCAATTTTCAATTGCTAATATTTCACATCAAGTTTATGCATGAAGGTTCTTTATTTTAAGTTCTAAGCAATTTCCTTATTGCTTCTTAATAACTAATGCTATAATGATCCCAATGTTACCAGACTGGATGAAATTAAAATAATAAACTAGGAAGAGACTAAAAGGAAGTGAGGAGAATCAAGTAGGGAAACTAAATAGATAAGGGGAATCAGAAGGAAAACCTCATAAACGGAAGAAATATATGGAGAATTGGAAGGACTGCGGATGAAAACACAGAAAGAATCAATAGAGCCAGAATATCAATAGTTCATCATCCAAAAATTACTTGAACTAAAAAAAGTAAGTGTAAATTAAATTTTAAACTGTTTATGAATCTTCATCAGCAACAAGGTAAGAATTGAGTGCTTATTTTTAGATAAAATAAATAAAGGATTTGTCAGGAATAAGAATGAAAAATAATGATTGGAAATCTTACTCATGCAACAAAGGTGAGGGAAGGGTCAGGATTTCTTTACAAGTGAAGGCATAATTGCTGGTAGTTTATCTGGGTTCAGTGTCATCACCAAACCTTCTAGCCTTATGCAATAGACTTCATTTAAAGGGAGAAGTCTTGGATGAAGTTTGAAATATTGGGCACTAAGAGAAAGGATTTGTGCTATGTCTTTGAGCCTGCAATAAGGGAAGGTATTGTTGATAAACACAACAGATATCATGAATAGTACTTAGATTTCTAGGGAAAATGCTAATTTAGAGATGGTAATAATAAGTAGGAAGAGCATTAGTTGATCATGGTTACCTTTGAAATCTGTACTTTTTGAGAATTTTTTTCAAAGGTCTATGTATGTAAAAATGTAAAATATCAACAAGGAACTGAGAATGCATTTTGGAATTTGGATTCCCATTTAATTCTGTAATTAAAAAGCAACATATAAGCAAACTATTTAATTATTTTATCATCTTGACCTCAGGTTAAATCCATAATCTTACCTAGTTTGAGTTTCTATCTTCTTCCTGCGAATTTTGCAACTATTTTCATTCATATTAACTACAATATATATGTATTCAATTTTTCAGGAAATTGATTACACAAAGGAAGCTGCCAATGCAGAATTATTTGCCAGTAATTTCAAAGACATGGATTATGTGAAAGTTCCATCAATATACTGGGAATACACCACACTGCAGGTATGACTTTTTTGAATTTATGTCTTTATATATATAAAAGAGTTGGTAAGTCTTCTGGATTTACACTCATAAATGTTAATTTTATCTGGTAATCTTTGTAGGTCCTGACAATGGAATATGTTCCCGGGATCAAAATAAACAAGATTCAGGCTTTAGATCAGTTGGGAGTTGATAGGAAAAGGTTTTGCTAATTTCCGGTCTGAACTGCATAGCTCGGTTCGGATGGGTTTTCTCGGCTTCGTTGCTCAGCCCTAAATTTCCCTAGAGAAAACCATATTCCATGCATTGCTTGTTTCTCTTACATATAAACAAGTGATTACAATTTATTATGTTCCTGTCTTACCCTTCTTGCTCTTGACAATTATTACATTTTATATGTGATGCAGGTTGGGCAGATATGCTGTTGAATCTTACTTGGAACAAGTTCTGTCTCATGGTTTTTTCCATGCTGACCCAGTAAGTTTTCGGGCTTACACAAATCGCCTGATTTATGTGGAAATGTTTGATGATGGGGAATGAGTTGCTTATCATGTTTGCACTTAAAATAGTAGCATATATATCATTTCATGCTGTTGTTTCAAAGGAATGCTTTGCTTTTCGTTTTGTATGCCTAGTATTTCTTTTTGGATCTAAAATGTGCAGTATCAATTGTCTGTTACCTGTTTATTTAATTATTTGCACAGATTACAAAATCAACTTAGTGAGTTCCTCCGTGCATAAATTTTCTTTTACTAGGTAAGAAAAGATTTATGGTACAACTATAAACCCGAATCACTGATATAAGAAATTTTCAAGAAAAATAAAATGTTGTATCCTATTAGTATATTCCAATAATTGGGAGACTTCTCGTAGCCTATTCACAATACCTTTTCTAGGTCTCAAGACCAATAGCTGTAGTAGAGATACATAAGCTGTATTCCTCTAGTTCCATGATTTTTTAATGCAATACAAGCCCTCAGGTCTATCTAACAAGAGCCTTCTTACGTTTTTTTTTGTAGCATCCAGGAAATATTGCTGTTGATGATGTTAACGGTGGACGGTTGATCATCTATGACTTTGGCATGATGGGAAGGTAATTTCCTATGCTAGTTTTGGCTATTTGCAATAAGCATTTTGGATAGAAAGCTTTTCAGTATGATTGATGATTTCTCCTGGCATAAATATTCTGTTTTTGGCACCTTGCAGTATCAGTTCAAACATCAGAGAAGGTTTGTTGGAAGCATTCTATGGAGTTTATGAGAAGGATCCTGATAAGGTAAATTGTATCTTTAAGAAACAGCCGTATCATGCCTTAGTTTGTGGATTTCCATTGTTATATTCTGTCATTGATTGAGTCAACCTCAATAGGTCCTTCAAGCAATGGTTCAGATGGGTGTTCTTGTGCCTACTGGAGATATGACAGCTGTCAGACGGACGGCACAATTCTTCCTTAACAGGTGGATTAAAGAAGAGAAAAATCCTATGATTTTAACTTTGCAGGGCATCCTAAAGTTCATTTTGTCTAATAGGAGGTTCTTGGCATAAACTTTAAAACATGCTTTTGTATGCTTGTCCGAAACTGGAAAGAAAAGTACTTCATTTTCTCTGCAAAATTAGCAATTGGATATGCTCTTTGCCTGTTGAACATGAGTTTAGAAGTCAGTGTAAACCATTTTTTTAACTGGATAAACAAAAGGCATGATTGGCAAAAGTGATGTGTATTAGAGTTGTCTCTTTCATCTAATATTTTGTTGAATGTGAAGTACATAAATTCAATTATTTCAGTTTTGGAGAGCGTCTTGCTGCTCAAAGAAGGGAGAAAGAAATGGCTAGAACAGAACTTGGATTTAAGAAACCATTGACGAAGGAGGAAAAGATGGAGAAAAAAAAGGAACGTCTGGCTGCAATTGGTAATACATTTGGTGCTCTTTTTCCCCCCTAAATGTAAACTAAGGTTTTACGCACTTGAATGAAATCGGAAAGGATTTAATATTGAGCCCACTAACTCGGAAAAGAGGATATGAGACATTTCATAACTTCAGTGGGGAAGACTATGAGGCATCATTAAGCTAATTCGTTTTGCAAGTTATTTGACTTTATAATACATGGAAATACATATACAAGCAATCAGAGGAAGAAGATAATGTCAGCTTCTTTATTAGCAGATCGGTTTAGATAAAAAAATCGGTGTTATAAAGATTGCCTCACTTGCAAGGTCTGACCTTTTTTCTCCTCTTAACAAGAACATCGTGTCCATCTTGTACACATTACACGTGGTTTGGTACTGAAAGCTCTTGAAAACTTGAGTTGTCTTCTTTTATATTAGGTTCAGTTGATAGACCTTAGAAGGACCTTCCTCTTTTAAGCTGGAATGGTTTTTTCCTTTGAGTTGATATTCAGCTGTTTACCCTTTCATTTTTTCTCTAAAAATAGCAGGTTTCTGCTTCTCATGAATGTTCCATTACCTGAACAGGGGAAGATTTATTAGCCATTGCAGCAGATCAACCCTTCCGATTCCCTGCCACATTCACATTTGTTGTCAGATCATTTTCAGGTAATACATTAACCTGGTGGCTTCATTTATATTTGTGCTGTATTGAACAAGAACTTCAGCACAATATATTATTTCATCTGCAGTATTAGATGGCATTGGGAAGGGCCTTGATCCTCAGTTTGACATAACTGAGATTGCAAAACCGTGAGTGTGGTTTTATCTCGTTAAGATCCTAATAATTTTCACTTACCGTTTTAAGGATTAGTCATTCATTTTGTGTGTATATCTGATTGTCTTGCATTTTATTGGTTCTAGCTATGCACTGGAGTTGTTAAGATTTCGTGAAGCTGGAGTTGAAGTTGTCTTGAAGGCAATATTCTAATCTTTGATTCTAGTTTTGAGTCGTATTTTTCATGCTACAGTTCCATTTTCATGATGTCCTATATAAATACTTCAGGACTTCAGAAAGAGATGGGACAGACAGTCTCGTGCGGTCTACAACTTATTTAGACAGGCAGATAGAGTTGAGAAGCTTGCTGAAACCATCCAAAGATTGGTAGGGTTCGAGATTCCTTCTATAATTTTGTTTGCAAGGTGAAAGTAGTTGCTGTGTTAAATTGATGTTGCAAAAATCTGCATTTTACAGGAACAAGGTGATCTGAAGCTTAGAGTACGAACTTTGGAGGCTGAAAGGGCTTTCCAACGTGTTGCTGCTGTTCAGAAGACAGTAGGAAGTGTGAGTTAATTTATATATATATATTATGTGTTCATTTTTTGTCTAATTTCATAGTGTGGGATATGTTCTTAACTATGAAACCATTTAAAATTCCTTTAAACATCATTTTGCACTGTTGAATTATTAGCTTACCCACATTTCCAAGTGGATGCCGAAAGTTTCTTGGTTTTTGGGGTTTAGGGCTAAGTTCTCTTATATGCATCCTTCCATAGGTTGGCAACTTGTTAGCTAGGGATGTAGGCCCAGCATGACCCCTTCTGTACTTATATTCCCTTGGCATTATATTTCAATGGGGCATTTGGGAGAACTTCGAAAGTGATGGGATTTGTGGCAATGATGTTCATGAGTTGAATGATGTGCTTGCTTTTCATGTAATTGTTGTAGTGGTTTTTATGGAAACAGTGAAAATCCAACTTCAAGAAACTTAAAATGGAGGAAATATAATGTATTTCAGATATTACTAGAATTGAAGGGTTTTTATTACTCATTGAATTTCTTTTTTCCATTCATTATTTTCATATACATTCTTGGTAACCTTTGAATATATTCTACATTATGGAAAACATTCGGAATATTTTTCAGAACTAGATATTTTCCTTGGTGACAATGTTCCTTTTACCTATAAACAGGCAGTAGCTGCTGGAAGCCTGATCAACCTAGCAACAATTTTGTATCTCAATTCCATTAGAGTAAGCTCTCTACTTTAATATGAATCTATGTATATTAATCCAACCCTCAGTCTTGTTAACTCTGTAATAATTTGTTCTTATGGTTATCATTTTAGGTGCCAGCAGTTGCTGCATATACCATTTGTGCATTTTTCAGCTTTCAAGTTCTAATCGGTATAATTAAGGTGAAAAAACTTGACCAGCGAGAAAAGTTGATAACTGGCACTGCTTGAGTAACAGGTGAGCAAATCTGATTTCTTTTCCACTTTCTGCATCTTGTTTTAAGCTCTTCCTTGGCTTTTATGGTCATCGTGGGAAACCGAATAATATCCGAACTTCGAACTTTTTCTTTGCAGATTTTAAGATTAAACTCAAACCAAGCTTTGTCGATAAATCAAATTCCGGCCACAGAAACAAAGTGAGAGGCAAAAATATGCTACATTTTTGCTTTCTTTTTTAGTTTAACAGAAATGAAAGCCTTCAATCGTGGTGAATTTAGACAGAGATTTAACAGCTATGAACTTATGGGATGGCCTTAGTCAAAAGCTCACAAAAATCTTGATGATGTTGTAGCTAAAATCCTAGTTATGGTCAAGTTTCCCAGTTCTTGAGTTTGTAATTTTTTACTGTAATCTTCGGCTGGCCTGATTTTCATGTAGTAGTAAGTCTTTTAGGCATAGCATAATGCAGCTCCCTGCCATAATTTAAACAGGGGGCTTGCCTATAACTTATAAGCTGTGTATAATATTTAACATACGTGAAAACATTGTGTAATTTGTAAGTTACATACCACGTGTACGATTACAATTGGTATATGCATATATGTGGTTATTTTTAATTGGTCAATCGTGTAAATACAAACGCAACTCAACTCATTTTTGAATGTGTAATCATATTTGTTACATTGTTTTTTTCGAAAGAACAAAATGGGTGAAGTGGTCCATGAGTTGAGTTGGCAATTGCATGCACTCGGTTGTTACTTGAAAGGGTATGAAATGATAAAAGACAACTCCCAACGTTTGAAAAAGAGGTTTATATTGGAGATGAATTGAAAGCTATTCAATAGCTGTCAGTCACTTAATGTATCTTTTATAATCATTCAACTCCAATATTGTAAAGCAGATAGCCATCCACTAACTCTTCACATTTGACCTAATTAATTAACACTTGCTTTCCATTTCTCCATTTGTGAAAATTGACTATATGGTCTGTTGAATTTGAACCCTAAATGAGACTACAGTTTGTCATAACTTTTCAGACATGAAAGTGAAATTATAAGAGGAAGGGAAGAACGGCAACAACAATGGAAGAAACTTCCCCAATTTTAGGCCACCATTTCATTTTCTTTAGAGAAGGATTACAAAAGCCAATGTCAATGGAAGAGGCCCAACTTCATATTTTATTGGGCCAAATTGGCCCATTAGGGCAACCCGCTAATTTAATTAGCCTATTAGGGCACTCAAACAATTAATTTGGGATCTACGGCAATTTGAACAGTTCCCATGGAACTCTTTATGCCGGCATGACGAATTCCATGAGATATTATTTTTAATGGGCCGTGTCAGGTGGGCCTCACACCCGAAATTAAAAAATAATATTTTTGGGTAAATTTTTAAAAGAAAAATAAAAAAATAATAATATTTTATCTCAATGGAACTCGTCACGCCAGCGTGATGAGTTCCAATAGGTATAATTTTCAAATTTTTGACCGTTGGCTTGACGGACGATTTTTTTTTAAATTTCAATGGAACTCGTCACGCCGGTGTGACGAGTTCCAACGACTATTTTCTGTTTGAAAAAACTAGTCATTGGGTAGGGTAGTATAAATAGAGGTTTGTGTTTGATAGATTTTTCACTTGTAATCAAACATTCTACTGAGAGCAAAAAGTTTTGTTTTGAAGAATTTGTGTTGAAATGGCATCAAGAGATGAAATGTTATGTCTTGATGAAGTTCATATTTCGTCGATCAAGTTGACAACAGTAAGTTTAATTTGTTTTATTTTATTTTAGTTTTGACAAAATTATAATATTAATAATAATTATTTTATGTAATTGTATTAAATAATTAATTTTTAAATTGTAGCGAGAAGAACGAACCATTCATCATCGAGGAATGACGAATGAAGAGCCATATCAGCGGATGGTGATATATCTTTCACAATCCGGATTATATGGATTGATGTTTCTTCACGGATTTAAGGTGACGTCGATACTGATATCGACGTTGATTGAGCGATGGAGGCCCGAAACGCATACGTTTCATTTACCTTGTGGTGATGTGACGATAACTTTGGAAGACGTCGCATATCAACTTGGCTTTCCGATTAATGGTATGCCATTGGTGCTTTGCAACACTTATAAGGTAATCATGTTATTTCTAATTTATTGGGAAAGGAGACTCCAACCGATGTCATTGATGGGTTGTGGGTACGGATGACTTGGTTGGAAAGAGAATTTAGAGTAGATAAACAATCAACAGATCAAGAGGTGATATATGCAACTCGAGTATATATTTTGACGTTGATTGGAGGGATCTTGCTATCAGAAAAATCGGGCAATTTGGTGCACACCCGATATCTTCCGATAATGGAGGATTTTGTTGTATGTCGCCAATATAGTTGGGGTTCTTCAATTTTGGAATTTTTGTATCGTGAACTATGTAAGGCGACTGTAATCGTTGGAGGAAAAAACGGATGTAGCGGGTTGTTTAGTTTTGCTCCAATCATGGGCGTGGTATCGTCTCCCGTTTATGACTCCTATTACATCCGCTCCTATGGAGTTTCCTCCCGCCGCAAGGTAAATTCATATATTTAAAGTTTTCTGTTGAGTTAATCGATCTACGGAATAGGCCAAGAGGGGGTGAATTGGCAATTAAAAATTTGGTGGAAGCTTTTGCAGGAAATTGAAAGTAATTTGCATAGCAATTTATAGTGGTTCGACTTTGTAACATCCTCAATATCGGGTTAGTGATCAAATTGTAAAGTTTCAGAATTTGATGACTATAGTAGAACCATGGATTAGTTCAATGATTTATTTGGAAATAAATCATAAAAGTTATGGTAATTATTAAATGAAGTAAAGGGTAAAATGGTTATTTGACAAAGAAGATTTTTATTTTCCCTTATAAGATAAGGAAACCATGTAGGAAGAGAGAAAAGGTTCCAGAGTTCTCTTCTCTTTTTCCTTCTTCATATGTGAAGGCTTGAACCAAAGGTGAGTCTTCTATTTAGATAATTTCTGGTTAAATTTAAGGTTGGGTTATGATCATTAGATGATAACTAAGCTTAAGGAAAGCTTAAGTTATCTTAAAATCAAAATATAAAGGAGTTAGGGAAGATTAAAGATTTGGAGTTCTTGAGTGAAATATTGAAATAAAATTTATAATAAGAATTGAAAGTTAAATTTGACTTGCCATCAATAAGAATAATAGATTTATGAAGTTAAAAAGGATTAATAACAAAGTTGAAAGTTTAGTAAGATTCTTAAATTTTAAGAATCATGATGAAATATGGAAGATAAAGATGGTTTATATGGATATAAGTTGGCTTAAGTAATGGTAGTTGAGTTAATGACATGATAGGGGCTTAAAATAGAAGAATTGAGTGAAGAGTTGATGGTTTTCGGGCTTAAAATGCAAATTCTGGGCAAGGTGTATCGATGCACATTCAATGTGTATCGATGCACTCTTTAAAGAAGAAACATCGAATGAAATTAGTGCATCGATGCATAAGGAGTGCATCGATGTACTCCCTTAAAATGAAAACATCGAAGGTGATTTGTGTATCGATGTATGGGTAGTGCATCGATGCACATATTAAGGGATGCATCGATACACTGTAGAATGCATCGATGCACTTCAATGGCAAAATTGAAATAGACATTTCTTTTGGTCTAAGAAATGATAGATTAGAGTACATCAATGGGATACTGATATGTATCAATGTATGATTATGTAGATATTGAACATGAACAAGTTCCGGAACGATTATCGAGTTAAGATTTGATCGAAAGAGAGGGAATCATAAAAGTGGATTGGAACTTAGTGAGGCCAAGGTGAATGCATCTTATTTTTATAAGATTATATGGAAATTGGACTTGTGTTAAGTCTATTTCCTATAGTAATAGCTCATTAAGTCTTGATTATAAGCATTTTAACAATATGAAATGTATGTATGTTTGATTATATGAATTGATATGTTTTTGTATGTGCTATGTGGTTTATGTAAAAACACTATTAAGTGTTAATGAGATAATATAAAATAAATTATGAAATTATAGGAATATAGAAGATAAGTCAAGAGATGTATGGAAATGGAAATATATGTTTATGAAGAGTCATAGGAGAACAAATATAAGTCATATGATAATGAAATATAAGACTATGTGAATACATGGTTATGAGATAAAATATGTAATAATAGGAAAATATGATGAAAGTGAGTTCATGAGAAGTGATAGGAACTAGGTAAACATGTGTAACAGTATATGCATAATGGAAACATGAGTTGGACAAGTACATAGTGGTATGATCCATTATGAGAATTAGTATAATAGAGCTTTTTGATTTAATGAGAGTTAAGGGAACTAAATAAGATTGAATTATAGAATGAAATGGGAATAGTATATCAATTAGGAAACTTGAATATAAAGGGATGATACAAATATGTAAGATAATTTATATGCTAAAGATCTATGGAGCTATATGAAAAGATTATAATGAATATATGAAATTGAATTAAGTAAATAGATTAAATTAATACATAAATAAAAATACTATTAAATGATATATGTTTAGAAATACGACATAATTTATGTAATCTAAGGGAATACAAAGAAATGGAGCATAAGGTAGATGATATGATATAAGTTATTATATACATATATGATATATGTTATCAAGTAATATGAAAGGACTATGAAAATTGATATAAGCTATGTGAAAGTGTTCTAGGTGTTTCTATGTATTATATGAAGTATATATGATCATATGTGAACAAGATATGATATGTATGATTACATGAATACCTGATAAATGATATAAGCTATATGATATGATCTACGTGATTATATGCACTTTGGATATATGTTATATGACATGGATCTATATGACTACATGAGAAAGTATATAAACTATGTGACATGTAAATGTGAATCATATGAAAATGTTCTACGCGTAAGTGAACTATGTGTATATATGAATATGTGAAATGACATAAATGACAATGCCCATGTTATATGTCATGAGAGCTAGGGGTATAATTGGCATGCCAAGAGTCGAGGGTCTACGCGGTCCTTCGGAACATATATGTATTCTTTGGAACATGTGTGAGGTCTTTTGGGACACATACTTGATCATTGGCATATGTATATGATTCTTAAGGAATTCTTTACGTGGCCCTTAGGGACAATCTTATATGGCACTGCGATGCATTTCTACGCTACACTACGGTGGAATTCTACGTGGCATTTCGATGCATTTATACGAGTTGTGGTGATAACATTAGTACACAACCTCTATAGACTCACATATCTATAGTTCTCACATGTGTATATGGGCTAATAAAGAAATAACAACAAACATATTACATGTGACTTGTATGCTTTTGTGTTATGAATGGTATTATATGATTTATATGATGATATATGGATAGTATGATTAAATGAGTCAAATGTTGGTTAAATACTAGGTATAAGAGGATATGTATTAAGTGATATAAATGATAATAATATTGATAATGAAATAAGGCTAAAGATGGAAATGATGAGTGATGAGTATAGGTGTGTGTATATGTTCTTACACGTAAT